CATGTGACTGTTGGTGGAATCAAACCACCAACTTTTGCACTGGAGGACGACTGCTCTAACCACTCAGCCACAGCCGCCCCGCGAATAAAAGCTGTTAATGTTTAACTCAATGCATTTGTTTTCCATAAACTGTAGAGACATCTTTTAATTTCTGCCAAAGGTTGGTTTGATTTTCCCCAAGTCACAAAATACTAAATATTATAGTAATTTAGAATATTATTCATCAAATATATATTTTCTAATACAAATGAATGTTTAGACTATAGAACTGTATACATTTTATTATTTCCATCCATTCATCCATTATCTTTTACCCGTTTCTTCCTTTTCGGGTCACGGGGGTCACTGGTGTCCATATCCAGCTATCACTGTGGGAGAGGTGGGGGACACCCTGGACAGGTCTCCAGTCCATCACAGGGACACATAGAGACAAACAACCATTCACTCTCTCACTCACACCTAGGGACAATTTACAGTTATCAATCAGCCTAACATGCATGTTTTTAGTCTGTGGGAGGAAAGTGGAGAAAACACACGCATGCACGGAGAGAACATGCAAACTCCACCCAGAAAGGCCCCCGACTGGAATTCCTTCCTGCGACCTTCTCACTGAGATGTGGTAGCTCTACTACCTGTGCCACCGTGCCGCCCAGTTTATTAATTGTAATGGTAAATTATTAATTTAACCGTGGGATTGTGTCTTTAAGGAATGAATTATGAATGCATTGAAAGTGGGGGTTCAGACGTCTAACGGGTCTGTTTTTAAATTGACTTGTTTGAATTAATTTGTTTTCTCTGTAAAATGCACTGATGTACCTTTTGTTGTGAAATGGTACTATAGTAATTCAATAATTTGCATGATGAATTTTGTAAGTTAATTGAGCTACACTGAAAAAAAAACCTACTTTGGGCCGCTAACGTTTTAAGAAAAGTCCTGAGAAATATAGTACCAGGCAGTCTTTAAATGTTTTTGTAGGCAAATCTATGTCAAGCTCTGGGGCAACATAAACTAAAAACTCACTCCATCGTAACATTACTCTCAAAACCAAAGCGTGAGACCTTTCTATTGTGTCGTCTGATGGATGCTCAATAATATTCTGATTCATGCTCAGTAATCCAGGTAGAAAAATACAACAAAGTTTTGGATTGGTAGGATATTTCTATAAGCATGAATAAGGGTATTTTGAACCACTTTTTGCCATGACTGCCTCAAACAAGTCGACCGGGGAGAGGGCGGACTCCAGAAACCATCTGAGCACCATCAAACTGGTTGACTCACTAAATGAAGGAGCTATTTATAATACTGAGTTTTTTGTGGCTCCTCGGACTGATGAAGTCTTTTGGATGAAAGACAAAAAGTTTCAACACAAATAAACTGTTCAGAGGACCTGACTTAACTTTGTGAGATGCTCAGTAATAAAATTATTAGAAACACATCAGCTGGTAAACCACGTTAGTTACAATAGTTCTCAACAAACAGCTACAAAAACAGATTTATGTGTTTTTGTACTCGTAGTTTGACAGCGTCAGGATGGTTTTATATGTCAGAGATTAGTTTTGCACATTAAAAACAGAAACGCACCTTATTACACTTTTCATCTTCCGTTTAGGACAGACTGTTGAACTGGTGACACTACTCCAACAGGAAAAGCAGTCAACTCTGTTTTATTATAACTGGCTGAAACGGACAAGAAGCCGGTCTACAGCAGCCAAGTTTTAACAACCACACCTTGAAGTATCGAGTCCACCTTAGCTTGCAGCGACACAGGAAAACTATCCGTGTCCAACAGCTGTTACCAGAACAAAGTTCCCCTCTCCAGCTTTCAGTGCGTCGTCAAAGCAGAGAGCTGACAGGCTTTACAATTAGTGTAACATTTACAAGGCCCTGCGTGAGCTACACTGCAGTCACGCTACTCACACATCCAGCTGCTGTTCTTCATTACTGACCAGACAAGGTGCGTCTGAAGAGTGTGATGTCACCACATGATTTACACCCCGGGATGACTGGCAGCTCCTATTATGTGAGACGTCCTTCATGATGTTGCAGCTCTCTGGTGTTTGCGTGTGTATGCTTAAAATGACATTAAAAAAAATCTGCTTTTAAATATCCAACAAAGTTAAGTCAGGTCCTCTGGACGGTTTCTTTTTGTTGAAACGTTTTGTCTTTCATCCAAAAGACTGCCTCAGACGAGTTGGCTCCTCGGACTGATGAAGTCTTTTGGATGAAAGATGAAACATTTCAACAAAAAGAAACCGTCCAGAGGACCTGACTTAACTTTGTTGGATTTTTAACTTAGATTATTGAGCATGAACTTTGACACTTTTAAATGTGTTTTAAAACCATATTTATGATGCATTTATAACGTTCCCGTTCTTTGGTTGGCTGTTCCTTTAGCAGGCGTCAATAAAGGCTGAAATGGACTCAACTTGCCACATCTGTCAACAGGTGAACTGCACATTTGCTTAACAATGAAAAGCTTTATTGCAAGTAGCAAAGATATGTCCAGATATGTGAGGACTTCAGGATTTATTTTTCTTATGGGCTGGAAATTACTTCCACTTGTGGAAACCCTCATTTAAATATTGCTTTACTGCCACGAAAAAAAACAAATCACAACTAGAGAAATTGCATTTCCTGCGAAAATGCAGTGTTAATGCTTATTGCTGAAGAACTAGCTGAAAAACAGCTGAAACTGGCTAAAACATGCTGAAATGTAGCTGAAAGAACAAGCCAGAAGTAAGCAGAAATAACACATATTTGCTAAATTAGGTTTAAAAAAGTAAAAATTAGCACAAAAGTTAGGAAATTAGCTAAAAAAGCTGAAATGATCAAATATAGCTGGAAATTAGCCAAAAAGTCTGAAAGAAGCTTAAACGGTGGAAGGAGTTGAAATGAGCTAAAAAAAAGAAAAAAGAAGTGGAAATAGCTGCAAAAGTTACATTTAGCACAAAAACAGCTAAAAAGTAGCTGAAATAGCAGAAAATGCTGAAACTAGCATGAAAAGCTGGAAGGAACATAGCAAGTTGAAATTAGCAAAAATAATTTAATTTGTCAGAAAAATACATAAATAACCATGAGAAACTTTAATTTATCATAAACAGCTGAAATTAGATAAAAAATGCTAAAAAATAATAATAAAAAAAGCTGAAATGGTAGAACAAGCTTAAATTAATAGAAGAATACAGAAATAGAAGACATGAGCACAAAAACCTGAAAATGATCTGAAAAGGCTTAAATGAGCAAAAACCAACTGAAAAGTAGCTAAAAAAAGCAGAAAGAAGCTTAAATTACCAGAAGAAAGTGGAGAGAGCACAAATGTGTCCAATTAGACTGAAAATAGTTTCAATTTATGCAAAAAAAAATTGGAATAAGCTTAAAAAGCAAAACTTAGCATAAAACAGCTAAATAGCAGCTGAAATAGCAGAAAAAAGATTAAAGTGCAGAATTAAACTGAAAGGAGCTGAAGAAGCTATTAGCAGAAAGAAGTTAGAAGAATGTTGTATTTAACATAAATAATCTGAAAGGAGAACAAAACAGCTGAAATTAGCTTAAAGTAGCTGAAAAAAGTTCAAATTTGCACAAGGAAGCTGAAAGAAGCTGAAGCAGAACAAAAAGTGAAATGAACAGTAAAAGGTTGTAAACAGGTCTAAAGATATGAAGGATGTAAAATGAGCTCAATTCATTTTCTATCCAAAAAAAAAAAAAAAACGAACAGAAAAGGCTAAATATTTAAAAAAATCTAAAGTTGCACCAATACCAAAAAGTCATAGCAGGATTGTCCTGAAAGAGCTGAACATTTTGATATGATTTGTTGAAATAGCTCAAGAGTCACACTGAAAAATGTACAGAAGAAAAATGCATCACAATAGGTGTTCACACTTGTTCCATTTATTTATTTATTTTAAAGCAAAGTGCCTTATCTGACTTTTAGGTTCATTTTGTGTGGTGTTTTTTTTTTTTTCATATAGCTGTAATCAGTAAGGATTATTTACGGCAACCCAAATTGAACCAATTAGAAAAATAAATTAAAAAATCAAAGAATTGCTTTAATACCGTTTGCTTCCCCTTTTCTCACTAAGTTCACTTGTGAGGGAGGAAAATCCAAAGAAAAGTTGGGAATATTTCTCAAGGAATGCTCTGCTGCTACCAGCCAAAACCAACTTCCGTCCAAAACTGGATATTAGGTCATTTTTTAACAAAATGGAGCACTGGAAAGTCTTGTAAGTGGATGGAGGTGTGGCAGTCCAAGGGGACCCTTCTGCAGCCCGCTCCGTGTGTTATCAGGTCTACAAGATTATTGCTTGTTTCCTTATCTTTTTCAGCACAGAGAGTTAGGCTGAGATCGTATCAGCAGCGCTTTGCGAATTAAACATTGCTAAAGCACCAATAGGGGCGAATCCTAAAATACAGCAAGGGAAAATATTTACAGTACAGTATGGAAGAAAAGAATATCAACACGGAGGTTTCCATATATTGTAAAGGTCTAACACTGCGGTAACATTAATCAGAGATCTGGCTCCATTGTTTGGCAGCTGCTGATGACTGTTTGCTCTCTGACAACCAACCCTGATACTCCTCATGCAGCAGAGGTGAAGGAGGGTGGATTCTCGCAACGGTTTCCATTCAGGATGCCCCAAACAGCTGCGAGGCCAGTGTAAACAAACCCACGGGTGTTTAAAAAAAAAGTGGTGGACAAGCACTCAAAAGACCATTACCCTCTGACTGGGCAGACTGGCTTTCTCTGATGGTTTGTCAACATTTCCGAGCCTATACATTACTTTATCAGCTTAATGGCAATTCATCAGATTTCCTTCCGTTCAAGGCGCTGAAGCTGTTTTTGTTTAAACCTAAAGTTTGGTAAGTTTGTTTGAGCTACTGGTACATTGTCTAGAATAAGTATGAATGCATATTTTAAACTAGCTTTACTGGAAACTTTTTAATTTGTTTGTGCATGAATCAAATATCACACTTCCCAAAAATATTTAATATTCAAACTCACCTGGATGTGGAGCCTTTCCTCCGTGCCCTGTTGGTGAGAAGACGTATTTGAGACAAATGCTCCATTTTTTAAATACTGAGTTTTTCTGCGCTACGTTACAAATATAGTTCACTCAGTTTTCAACTTTGGGTTAAGCAACTGTAGTTTCTGACAAATGTTTGTTATTTTTTCCGGGCGTTCATGTATGTTTCTGATTACTGAAACTGTTGGGTTTGAATACATGACAGCAGCGGCAAGAGGTTTTGTCTTTTTTTAACATTCATACCTGCTGGTAATCCTCCAAAGCCAAGGCCACCAGTCAAAACACCACCTGGCACCAAACCACCAGGGCCCACACCTCGACCACCGGCTCCATAACCTCCTGCTGTCCGGGTCAAACAGAGACACAGCAGTCATTACTGTTATCATTTTATAGTAACACTTTGGTCTTTATTTAAAAAAAGGGGGGGGGGATTTAATGGGAAGTGGTGGTGCAGAGGTCATAGAAGTGAACCTGTGATTGTAAGGTCACCAGTTCATATCCCCTGTTGACTGTAACATCAAAATGTGGGTGGAAAAAGTGAAGCCTCTGCCTCTGCCTTCATTTGCCCCACTCTGAGCCCTTGGGCAAGGCCCTTAAGACCCCCATCTGCTCCCCCAAGCCTCCTAGATGGCAGCTCCTTGTGCCAACAGAGCTAAGGTTGCATCATCTGGCCTAAAAAATACAATTACCAAGTCCTTGTGTGAGTTCGCTCGCTGTGACAACCACTAAGGAAGGGAGCAGCCTAAACAAAAGAGGGGTGCATTTTAATATTGTTCATCCACGGAGGCTTTAAGAGTTTGATTTAATGCTTTAATGTGTTAGTTAAACAGCAAAATGCCTGATCTGCCTGTTTTAGATGAGATATGAAAGTCTTGAGACAAGTTTCATCTGTCACAGCAGAAATAAAATATTTATCAGGGAAATGATCCTCCAGTGATGATGATGAGCTTCTCAGCACTCCTGTTCGCTTTCAACAAGTCAAGTCAAAACGCCTGTAATAATTGTGTTATGTTATTTTATTCCCTTTAGATTTGTTCAGGATGTATAAGGATGAAAACATTAATCTTACTGACAAGTGTGCTAATGAAAAAAGTGCAACTGGTCCAAAAATCTTTTTGTTTTTTTTTGTCTTCCAGCAAATTATGTTTTTAACTGTTGACTCAAAAACCCGATTATTCCCACAGTTACAGTATGTTCCTAATTTTAAATTAATCGCAGTTTTCAATCCAATGCTTATTGTGCATTTCCAATTATTGACCAACTCAAAGCTGACAGGAATAATTGGTTTTGCAATATCATTTTTTTTTTATATATAATGGTAGTGGACATATGTTTTGCAGTAAAATGTTTCCAAAAATATAAAAATGTCAATTTTATTTGAAAAGACATCACGTCACTCTTCCCTCAGCCATGGCGCAGGTACTGTTAGCATTAAACGTGATGGATGGGGTCAAACCTGCCCAAAAAATGGGGGTTGAAGCCATGCTGAGATTATCCACACAGGTGACCTGCTTCTAAACTGGACGGTGCTCCAAGAGCATCCACCATGAAGGTGTGACGTGACCAACTACATGCAGCATTTATCAGGTCTGGAGGCCATGACTGTTTCACAAACATCATTGTACTAAAGACATCGAAGTGCGAAAGGAATGATTTCAGAAATAAACTTGCAGAAGTCAATCTGCATGAAGCTGACTATCACATGTTTTTGACACAGCTGTTAGACAATTCAGCATTTATAACTTGTACTTTATTTCTTTTAATATCTAAGTCACCTACAGAGATGTTCCAGAACCCATTTTATGACAAACAAGGTGCAGTTCTTAAAAATATTTTAGTATTCACGGGAAAATCATGAATCGACGGTCTCTTCCACTCACCTGCAGCTTTAGCTGGTTTGTAGGCTGCAGGGAATTGTCCAGTAGAGCCTAAAAACACAACAATCATACACGGTATTGATTCAAGCTAAAACTACGTATGTGTACAAATCATTTGTATACATGTATGCATTTAATTTCCTATCGTGTCATGATGGAGCTGAAGATGAAGCGTTCATGCAAACATTGAAAAATGCTGCGTTGTACACAGTCACAATATAACATACATGTGGGAACATGTGTATCCCTTTGTCAGCTCAGCAATGGCCTTTTTTTGTATTTACATTTAAAATAAAATACATCTTCAGTCATTTGAAGTCTTAATATCATGCAAAGATCAGCTTCAAAGCTTTAATAATAAAACTTCTATTAACAGTGTGTTTTATGATGTTCATAAAATGTTTTGATAATTTTCAAGCTCCACTGGAGCTGATTTTTAGTTGTACAAACAGGTTAGTTTGTTGTGGACGTGTTTCAAACAGAAGGTCTTACCTGGAAAGAATCCAGTTCCTGGACCAGCAGCTCCTGGTCCGATCCCAGTACCAGGCGGTACATACACACCTGGAAAACATAAGAAAAAAATACAGGATGGTCATCTTCCATCACCAATGTGTGATATGTATGGGGTGCTGTTTGTAAAGTTACACAGTCAAACATTAACATCAATATTTTGGTTTATTTATCCTTTAATAAAAAAAATGGTTTTTTTTTCAAAGTCGTATTTTCACCACATTATTCATACATTTATAAATGTCATAGTTACCAACTAAATATTTAATTTACAAGCTAAAGATTTAGTTTACCAACTAAATACTTAACTTGCAAGCTAAATATTTAGTTAATAAACTAAGTGTAAATTAAATATTTAATTTCCAAGTTAAATATTTTCAAAACTACACATTCAATTTCCAAACATTATTTATTTTCCATTTAATTGCCAAACTAAACATTTATTTTCTAAGCTAAACATTTAATTCCTAACCTAAATATTTATTTTTGCTAACTAAATATTTAGCTTGGACCTAAATATTTAGCTTACAAGTTAAATATTTTGAGTGTTAAATATTTATTTTGGAAATTAAATATTTATTTTGGAAATTAAATGTTTAGCTTAGAAATTAAATATTTAGTTTGTAAATTAAATATTTAGCTTGGACAATGAATATTTAGTTTTGAAATTAAATGTTTAGTTTTGAAAATAAATATTTAGCTTGGAAAATAAATATTTAATTTACACCTAAATATTTAGTTTACCAACTAGATATTTAGCTTGCAAGTTAAGCATTTAGTTTGTAAACTAATTATAGAGTTTGAAAATTAAACATTTAGTTTGGAACTATGACATTTATAAATGTATGGTGAAAATATGATTTTTGAAAAAAAAAACTATTTTTTTCTTATTAAAAGCTAAATAAACCAAAATATTGATGTTAGGAAGTTTTTTGACTGTGTAACTTTACAAATGGCATCCCATAGATACATGCTTGTTTTTTTTTTTCTTTTGAAACGACTACCCTCATTCGTAGGACAAACATTCTCTAATGCATTCATTCTCATTGTGCCAGAAAAAAAATACACTGAATTTTGCCCTTTATGTGCACATCTGGCACACATCATTACTGTGGTGAAGCAGCATGAACACAGCATTGTTAGCTTGAACCAGGGCAAAAGTAAATAAGAAAAAAAACCTGAACTTTACAGGTATTATGTGGAGCAGTGAACTGGGCTTTGATTTGTTTTCATACTGATGAGGGACCTTAGTTGGAAAATTTGTCCCAGAAATCTGCTCCAACTTTATTTCTCGCTTGATTTCTGGCTGCGACTCAAAGTAACTTCTGAGACGGTCGTTCTGGATTCTAGACTAGATGGCCCGAAGTGTGTAAGGAATAACAGGGTCCTAAATATAAAGCGGGGGATTTAATAGAATGACTCCAGTTGTTCTGGAACAGCTGAATCAAATGGGAGTGGTGAGCTAAGGCCTCAGTTAGTAAGTTGCACTGTATGTATGTCTAATTAAGGCCTGGTTCATGTCACAAAAACACAATGCAAATGAGAGAGCGGAGCTGTTGGACCGTAGTTTGTGTTCAGTGGCTCCTCCGTGGTCTGGGAGGCTGATTAATTTAAACCATATGTCAAAGGCGTTCATGTGTTTATTAGAGGAACATTGTGTGACAGCTCAGTACCGACCACAGAGCGCAGTGATTGGGTGAATTACATGGCATTACAGTCACATATCGCTGGAGGAATTCATGCTGTTCCAAAGTGACTGACAATTTCCTCTGATGAACTCTGACATGTTTATTGGATGTGTGCCATGATGAAATCAGAAAATGAACAGTTTGTGTCACTCAGTAGTCATGGAGAATCCAGAAACCAACACAGGCCGCCCCAGTGAGGGAGGGATTTGAATAGTGAATGTTTGTGTTTGAAATGAGTGTTTTTCTGGACTGGAAGTAAACAGGGAATGCAAGTAAACCTTAGTGTTTTTGGTGAAAGATATTCAAGCGGGCAGGAGTTAAACTGTGCATATGATAAAACTATACTTGTATGCAATGTAGGGGTGGCCAGTTTCCATACATATATGGCGATGGCCATCTTGTATTTTGACATGGCAACCCAATTTTTGAAAGTGATTTTCTTACTCCTACATGCAGCCATGCACCAAAATGGAAGTTGGTATCTCACTTACTCTTCAAGTTATCCAGCTCACAAGATGAACAGATGGAGGGTTTTTCCAATTCCACAAAATGTAATTGGATGACTGCATGAGAGAGGTGTGATCATCTGCAAGCTGGCGCTGCTCACTTCACATGTGTTAACAAACCAATGATGTGTTTGGTGTCAAAGATAATACTTTTTATTTAGATACTCCAGAACTGCGGTTTAAAGCTGAAGGGAAGAACGAGTGAAACTAAATGTTTGCTTGATCGAACAACAAAAAAGCAGTTTACTGTTAAAAGTAGGGGGGTTGAATTTTTCCCCCATTAACACTGAAGTATTAACAAAAACAGCTGAAGTTTTAACGTCAGAGAGCTAAACAAAGGAAGCATTGATCACATTTCTTGAGGTTTGGCTGTCTAAGACTAGCTGAAGCAAACTAAAAGTCCTCGAGACTACAATACAACAAAGAGTAGAAAGCCCCTAGTTCTGCATCTGATTAGCAAACAGCTACGAGTATAAATGTAACATCTGCGAGCATGTTTGGGTTTTTATGAGCGTTTGACGGTTTGTCCATGCCAACAGCTCATCTAGACCTCAGTGTAGGGACCACACCATGGGTGTGGAGTGAGTTTTCTCAGTTTTGCTCTTTCAGTTCACAATCAAAAGAAGGATTTCCTGTCTTGGCAGTTAAGTGGAACAGTGAGTGTTTTCCTTTAGCCTTGAATTAGATCATTTTAATGGAGTGCACAGGGTTCAATATAACCATGCAGCTCAAGTGTGC